GGATCCCCCTTCAATAAAAAGCAGTGAGTAACATTATCCTATGCCAATCTTCCAGTACTTCATAATTAAATTCTATGAGAAGTAGAAAGGTAATTTTTCAAGGAAATATCACTTTCATTCCTAATTTGTAAAAGCAGACAAACTGAAGGATAGTATTGATTTTAAAATATAAATTTATGCACTTGGTAGGTGATATTGAAACTGAGTTGGACTTTTGCTCCATATTAAAGCCCAAGCAAATATCTTCCCTTTTTTATTTTGGAGGGTGTTACAAAACTTCTAGGAAACTTTTATGCAGTGTCTGAACATAATCATCTGAGTCCTACCAAACAAGCCAGGAGTGCTAGTTATTGTTTTCTAGAAACCATAATAGAACATGTTCCAGAAGCACATCCTCCCGTCCATTCACACACACACAATATACAGACCCAAAAGGAAGAAAAGTAAAGATAAAGAGAGGGCTTTAGAGGGAGTCAACAGGGTGGTTGGTGAGGATGATGTTGTTGTTGCTGTTCCAATATGAGCATAGTCATAGTTATATTATTATTTACTCCTATTATTATGAAAAGTGGTTGGCCTCATTTTTTCTGAGTATATTCTCCTGCTCATAGTAATCAGATGACTGCTCTTATCAGTTTTAACCTTTATTTGTTTATTTTGTATTTCAGTATGTTGTGAAAACCCAGTTTTGTTAGCTTATTGTTTTAAGTATTGTGTGAATGGACAGATTTGATCAATTCAAGTAAACCTAAATGAAAAACTACCAAGTTTAAGTTTTGGTGCAAATGCATCTGATAATTTGATTCACAAATCGTACAAAGTCCATCTCATTTTGTTACCCATTCACCTTCTTTTCCCCCTGTGAATTATCTAATTTGCCCAGCAGTTGAGCAAATTGGAATCCTCTTTTCCTGTTGGATGAATGGTTCCTTTCTCTTGACCGAACTTGGCTATTCCATGCAATGAATGGCCTACAAACTCAGAGAGCTGAGCCCAAGATGAGAACTGGAGGAAATGTGGCCTGTGATCTGTGTTGGTTCTCTTCAGGGAGGTGGCTCCAGGGCACCTGGCATAGGACAACATGGCTGCCAGGTGGCTGCTGGCCTCAAACTGACATGACTGAGTTGTTTAGGAAAAAATTAACAACTGGTTTGCATGAACCAGAGTGAACTGGCTAGATAATACCTCTGAACTGGAGTAAATTATAAGCCCATCTAATGATGCTGGGGAATGCATACAGGTGAAGTAAGTACTTTGACATCCTTTTTCTATTTGATTACTACACTTTATCTTAGCCTGGTGATGCTCAGATGGGAAATATCACCACTATTCAGTGCTATGGGATTATCCCATGAGAAATGGTTCCTTAGCATCCATTGTGTGCATCTGAGAAATGTCACAATAGAATGCAGATATCCATTTGAATTTTGTGTCATCTCCCACATGTCTGAAAGCAAGGATAAGCTTTTAATGAATCACTGTGGCCAATGATTGATGGAGAAGAAGATAATAATTGAATATGTTTGACATGACACTTCAGGACTTAATTTATATAATGCTAAGAAATGTGCTTTTTAAAAGTGACAGTTCTTTAGAAAGATAATGTATTCCATTGTGTAGGCACGTTCTTGAACAACTTCTAAGAATAGCACTAGCACATATTAAAATGTTCAGAGATGCTACCAGGGAGAAAAAAGGAAGGAAAAGGACTTCTGAGAGTACATGCCTGCTGCATGCAGTTCTCGCCTCTAGGATTGCCCTTCCTGAAGGGCGGGGACACCGATCACCATATTTCCATTTCCTCTTGATGTCTGTTGCATTTCTGGAATTATTTTGGAAAGAAGGAACGTTGGTTGTACTCACCAAAGTTTCTGAGTGAACATTAGAGCACCAATTTAGACATTAATTATTAAAAAAAAATTTTTTTGGAAACTGACCTTTAATCAGGAGGTAATAGAAATTAAAAGGAAAAAAAAAAAAGACTTGGAAGGGTGATGTACAAAAGAGGGCCAAGTTTGCCGCTCCTTCCTGCAACTTCCATTGATTTCTTTCTCCCCATATCAGTTTATATGCTTATGTTGAGATACATTTCTGGGTTGCTCCATACTGTATATGCCCCATTTGTGCTCTATTGTTAAGGTGTAGCAGTAGACAAGCAGGGATGGAGTCCAGATCTAAAGAAACATTGTGTCTCATCATACCTACTGTACAACATTACAGCTATAGGCAATGGCTACATAAAGCTCTTCAAAGATGGTTGAGAATTGATGGACTTTTTAATTAAACTGCTGCTACCAAGAGATTTCAGCCAGAATCTCACAATGGGCAGAAAAATGAATGCCAGAATGTAACCCAAGAAAAAACTGGAACCCTTGGGTGTCAGTAGCATGAGTATTCAATGCAGTTTGTGTTATGTGGCATTCAGTTTTGAAATCTCACACTTCTATAGCAACTTCCTTCGTTCCTTCCTTCGTTCCTTGTTTATTTTACTTTCCAGGATGAAATGCTAATCTGTATTTATGGGGGTGGCATCCCAGGAGTTGTTAAACCCAGTAGTGATGTCATCATACCAGCATGTGCAGCCTGGGTAGGCTGTTGCAGTCTTAATCAAAAGAAGAGAAAAAAGAAATCCTGGGGAAGAATTTGAAGGAGCCCACAGCCTGCCTGACATGTTTTAAATGCTTGGTATGAGTTTCTTTGACTTGGCTGCATTATCTACACAGCTCACAGTTTTATAGGACCTTTGGGCAGATAAAATTGATCAGCAGCTAGAGGAAAATTGCTGTTGCCTCAGCAACAAGCAGATGACTCATCCTAGGTAGTGAGCAGATGAAGCTGAAAGGCTGCAGTAATTTTCCAGATGCTTAATCCAGCCTTTCTTCTGTGGCTTGCTGCATTTTCTCTTTTTCTAAAAGGCAGGCATCTCTTCTCCACTTTCCCTTCCCATAAGCCTGCATACTCTACATTCTTATGTGATGCAGTATGCTATCCTTCATGGAGCTCACCTAGCCACAAGGTCACAGAGAAAAGCTGAATAACATGTTAGTCTCAATAGAATTTGAAAATGCCCTGGAGGTGCACAGTTCTCTCCAGGTCATTAGTGTCATATTTCTGACAAAAGATCAGAATCCACCTCTTACAATTTTGCGACACTATTACAAAATGAAGAAACTGTCTCAGGTGACAGGAGCTTGGAGGCAGGGAGTGGATATCTAGACTAGGTGGCCAACCCTGAATCCCTTAAGCTATCCTTGCCTTGAAGTGAAAAGGTGGTCCTGTTCCACTTCATGTACTGAAGTGAGATTCAGATGGAAATTAAGTTTCCATTTTTAAATGTTGTTTATTAATTAGGACTGTGGTGTATCTCAGATTCAAGGCTGATTCAAAAGCAGTATGATTGACTTACCCCTTTATATCAAAATTTGGAACTGAACCACTCAATCAATTCAACATGTTAAATCACATCAAATCAATTCAAAGATTCAAGGGACTTTTACCAAATTGAATTGAATTTTGGATTTAAAATGATTGTCTGAATCAACTCTTTGAATTGAATATAATTTTTAATTGGATCTTGGCTGATTTTCACATTCCTATTTATAATGTTCCAGATTAATTAGGATTAAGGAGATAGTTATGCAGAGAGTCAGCTAGAAACTATTCTGTTATCAGTGAACACACCCACCTACCTGCTGGATCACAAGAAGGCTATTAGAAAGAAACTAAACAATTCTGTATAGCCTAATGTTCAGGAAAAAAGTGTACTAAATAAGAAATAGTTCAGTTGCTGAAATTAATCTTAGACCCTCTGGCAGCTGCCTTAAAGTAAAATTCTTTCCCCCCTCGAGCAATATTTTCAGAAAACTTTCTTCAGCCAGATTTATTGAGACGTAAGGGATGGGGGTTACAAGAATTAGGAGTGAAGAGCCTACAGATATATCTTTAGATACAGCTTAATCTTATTATTGGTAAAGATTTACCAAGAGATTCAAAGAGTAAAAAGGCGAATGGTGGAGACAGTGAAACAGAAGAAGGAACAGAAACCAAATAGGAGAAGAGGAAAGACCATTCCAATATCCAATGATTCAGCTACTGGGGTGATAGACAGAAACTTTATTATCTGTAGTAATGTCAGACTTTCCTATTTAGGTTCTCTGTTCAAAGACTTTCTATGTATTCATATTCAAACAGAGACATTCACTGTTGATCATACAATATTTCACTGCAGACTTGTTGCAGTTGTCTTGCACTGTAGCAATAAAAGAGAAATCTAACTCTTTCTCTCCCTGCTATAGTCCTAACCAAAATCATTTCTCTAAAGGTGCTGCTTCCATTTAAAGGGAAAATCCTCTTGGTACCAGTGGAGATTTTTCTGGCAATATATAAGAATTTCAGTGAGATTTTTTTTTGCTGGGGCTTTTCCAGCAAAAGAAAGATGGGTATTTCAGTTTCACAAACCCATATTTAAGCTACCCAGAAAACTGCTATTTACACAACACATAACCTAACACAACATATAATGCCATTGATTAGCTGCATTTTTTTTTTTGCAATTGAGACACCTAAATCTAAATTATTTATTCACTGCCCAATTAATCTGTTTTAGCATTGGTGTTAGCCGTGCTATGGCATCCCTGATTTGTAAAAATGAACTGCCTTATCATTCTTCCTGTTTTCTGCCACACAGCTTCTTTTCCTATTTGAACAGGAGAGAAGCTAACTGTAAATCAGGAATGGGGAATCTGTGAATCTCCAGATCTTGTTGAATGTTCAGGCAGTATGGATAATGGCAGGGGGTGATACTAGGAGTTTTAGTTCAGCAGCATCTGGAGGCCACAGGTTCCAAATTGCTAAGCAACTCTTTCTTCCTTTCAAATCTAACACTTTTCATATAATTTTGACACTGTATATCCACGTATGGAATAATTCATCTCTTGCATTAATTTAATTTTCCCTTTATATTCATTGTCATTGTTTCTCCCTGATCACATTTATTGTAGGCGTTTAAACTATTTTTTCAAGCAAAACAAAAGAAGATTCAAGCCCACATCTGAAAAACAGTTTTTTCTCCACCTACAAATTCACTGGTTATGGGTATGTATACTGAACATCATGCCTGTAATAATAAGGATCACAGCAGCCTGTATAACAGATGTGTGAAGATCTGTTTTATTGTAGCCACTAGCAGAGGTGACATTTTCCAGAGTTGGCTGGTTTTGCAGTAGTGTGAAAGAAGGGAGCTAACAAAGCACTTTGGAGGTTGTAATGAACATAATTTTTAGTTGTTCTTGACACCACAATGTTCTCAATCTCTTTCTTTTCCTGGGGAAAGTTTTCCTGAACTGATGCCTTTCTTCCATGAAATGAAATGTTTTAAATTAAGCACAATTTAATAATTCACAGGCTCTCCCCCCTCTTGAAATTTTATGCAACTGACTATATAGCATTCATCACTGCAAAATGATCATTGTGCTAAACTGATAAAGAAGCTAAGAGATAACTCCTGTTGTTTAAGGTCACCCACTCTCTCCTGGGGAGAGAGAGCTAAGAGAATTACCTCCTGGGCTGCTATGAGGAATATGCTAGGCATCTGTTGGATAAAGTCCTCCAAGTTGGACTCCAGCCTTGAAACTGGTCTATGGAGTTAACTGAGGCTCAATTTGGGTTCTTGTTAGAGATTAGGATGACAGTTGTCCTATCCTAGAGATAGGATGATAGTTGTTCTATTTTGTTGGATCCAGGCCTGACTTCTTAAGAAGTCAGAGAAACAGTGCCTTTTTAAAGAACCCTGGCATCTCCCAGAGAAGCATTGACTGTAGTTCATCTTCTAGTCCCCTCTCTGACTGCTTTGGTTAGCCAGGTGGGGCAAGAGTCCAATCCACAAGTGGTAGAGCTAAAATGTGCATATATGAGGCATAATCTGGGACAGATAAGGGACAGACAAACAAACAAAATGTTTATTTCTAATGCACCTCTCACAGGATCACCAACTTTTCCCAAAAATGATTGATTATTTAAGCCAAATGATAGGTTATATAATGAAGAATAATATGATTACTTTGTATTTCTTAGATAGTACATTGATAGAGGTAGACCAATAGTACTTCCTGTCTGCAGATACAGAAAATTTTTATCAGAATTAGCAATATGTTCTTGGAATAACCTTCTTTCTTTTCATACTGAGTTTCTTCCTGAGTGGGTTGATGCACTAATGATATGCCAAAGAACCTGGAAATCATATGGTGGAGACTCATTAGAAATGAAAGAATAGCTTGTTCTGTTTTGCATATGTACAAAACATTTCTTCATTATATCATGTCACATGTAGATGGAGTTTAGCTGGCTCCACTCCTGCTTAGTAGTTTATCATTGTTTTGTTAATCGTTTGTCATTTATTACTTAGTGTCATGCCATAACCTCACAGACTGTTTCATGCAAGTCAAGATTTCACCTTTTGAAAAAAATAGGAATCTTATATAATATCTGTTATTTACTTTGTGAAAAAGTGTCAGATATTGCTTTGCAAATAAAACAGGTATCCATTTATTCCCTGGGGACAAAATGTTCAAGGATAACATATAATAAGCAAGTACCCAAGTTTCAAACCAGTTCATCAATCAGTCATAAATGATACTGGTCTATAAGGGTACAATGATTGTGGTAGTATTTCTTCCCAAATCCATGCTCATAAAAAAAATATTTGAGTCTCTAAAAAGCTGTTATAAAATTCTGTCAACATTGCTTTGAAGTTGGGAATGAAAAATCTGCCAGATTTTTTTTTAATCTTTCCTTCTTGGATTACAAAAATATTTTAATTGCACTTTTTGTTTTCTATTTTTAATTTTAATTTCTTGGTTACAGAAGATAAAGATGAACATTTGAACATCTGCTACACCAAAATCATCATCATCATCATCATCATCATCATCATCATCATCATCATCATTTTCCCTAAGTATTGCAAAAGCTTTTATTAAAAAGAATGAAAGTGTTATTATGATGGAAAAGACTCAGCTAATTCTCTTGTAGAAACATGCAGTTATGGGGAACTGCCTATTAGTGCATAAATAATACTTAGATATAGTAGTTCTATTTTAGTCAATGTGGTTTTGCTAGAAAGTTAACCTTTGGGAAACAATTCATGATATTATGACGAACATTACAAATAGTTTACAACTCCATTTGTCCATTAGATTTTTTTAAATTAAAAACTTGATAGGATAGGAATTTAATGGCTAATGTAGTCCATCTGATAACTCTGAAATGGCATAAAGAAGTTTAAGAAAAAATATTCCAGTCTCCCAAATCTGTGTTACGTACTTCTGATGAAGGGAACATAACCAGCCTATGTGCCCAAAGGCAACATATGCTTTCCACATACCCTTGCTGAAGGCTGTATATTTTCATCGTGGGAGAACTGCCATCAACTGCAATACTGTAGAAACTGAATTGACCAAAGATCCAAGCTATGAAAACTGAGTTTCAGCTAAACATCCCAAACTGCCCTGGCCATAAGAAAAAAAAAGACTTTATTTTTAAAGTCAAAAGTCCAGTTTTTCAGGGCAGGGACCATCAAGCAGGTATATATCCAGAACTTGATGCATTGCTTCTTTACTCTGGTATTGGGAATAGTTCTTTTTTTATTTTAATGTTGTTGTTCAGAAAACAGCACTGAGAGTGCGAGTGCTGCTATGAGTTGTTTTATTGCTCAGGCAAAATTGAACAAGGATTTTTGGAGACGGAGAAGAACCGGAAAACAAATTCAGGGAATAGTGCTGAGAACAACCTCATCCATCTTCCAAAGCTAGAAGCCCAGTACACTGATTTATTTAATTTAGTTTAATCATTCTTCCCTGATTCTTTAAACAATAACTGAATGCTGGTTATAACCATTTAAAGTCAAGTACAGCAACCATAAAACAATCAATAAATACATAAATTAGAAGGCATTAGGGAATTAAAATCAACAAGGAAGCTGTTGTACACATGGAGAACACAGAGGATTCTGGACCAGATACTGTTTGAAGCACCTATTATCAAAATGTAATACAGTGTCTGGCAATGTTTAAAAACCTCTGTTCAGCAATAGCTTTCTACTATGCATATGTAGAAGGGGAGCTGAGAATTTATAAGCATTTTTTCTCAGTGCTGGTCAAAGGTTAAGCCTGCCAAAAACTGTGAATGCAGACATTTTATATACTGTTTTCTACAATCATTATTTCCAAGTAAACCTAGCCATATCTTTTTTCCATGTTATACTTTTTGGCATAGGGGTGTTTTTGGAGGGCACAACAATTCTAATGAAGAGATGGGCTCCCTTTCTCTTTAACCTGCTAAACCTAACTAGAAAGTTTTTGTGTTCCTATATATCCTTTTGTAGCTTTCTCAATCACTTATATTTCCTAGTGTCCTAGTCTCAGCCATCATGTTTATTTTTTTGCACATCTGAATATAATGTGCACTTACTATAGACACAGGACAGGTGACAATCTAACAATCAGTTGACCCATATATGCATAGAAAGAAAGAAGAAAGAAAAGAAAGAAGAAAGAAGAAAGAAGAAAGAAGAAAGAAGAAAGAAGAAAGAAGAAAGAAAGAAAGAAAGAAAGAAAGAAAGAAAGAAAGAAAGAAAGAAAGAAAGGAACCAGAAGACCATCCGATCAGATCAAGGAATATGCTTGCTCATCGCATAATTTTATCAAAAACATTGCTCAGTGGATTCTCTCTAACATGCTAATAAATTAACTTCTGATTGCTGGGGTCCTCCCCAGCATGTATTTTAGTTATTTTCTCCACTAAGCTATCACTTCAATCCAAATTGATATAAAGAAAAGATTTTCTCCTGGTATGTATGCAGCTAGTTTTCTCTTGGGCCAAGGTCTGTTCCTTAGATACCAAAGCAGTATGTAATTGTGCATGGAAATAATAGCTGACATGGAGACCATTGAGGAAAAAGCTGAGAGGGAAACAGCTGAACAATGGAAAGATCTACTGTATGTAGATTCAGAGATTAGGAGAAAGTGACCAGTAGTTCAAGCCAGAATTCAAGAAGCAAATAACAAATTCATTATTTATTTACATAATTCTGATAAGAAAATGAGGAGTTTTGAAAACTGATTCTATTTTTATTACAGCAACCAACTGTCATTAACACAGGAAACATGTCACACATATGAAAGCTGCACAGGTGTTTGAAGAACCCACAGAAGGAAAGGTTTCATTACTGAGTTCTTCCACTTTATTGTGGACTTTAACTGATAACCAAATTGATCTAAACTAAATGTTTACTCTCACATGTTTCTACATATGCATGCTATAATAATAACCTGCATATGTTATGGAACCTAGTGACAATGTCATGTCAGATCTGAAGCTTTAGGTGTTATATTGGTGAGAAAGAATTCCCTTCCTCCTGCATAATCTTCTACCAATTGTGTCTTACAGCCTCATCCCTATGAAATGTCAGTGCTACCTTCTGAGCAATTTGTGGTACTTAAAACAGATGCAGTCTCTGTTTAAAGGGCTGAGCTTTGTTTTGTTTGATTGTCAAACTGCTTCTTGCAACAATCTATATACATACGCTACGCGCCCATCACCCTATTCCTTTTTGGAATAAGTAATGTTATGCAAAGTGTGGAAAACAATTAACAAATAGCAAGACAAAGAAATTAAAAGCTTGATATGAGAAAAAAGGAAAGATATTTGACATCAACACCATTCACTATATCTCTCCCTATCCTTCCGTCCTCTGCAGATTTTTTATGTTTCCACCATATTCATATATTACCTGTCTTATCAGCTATGGTAAAACACAATTTTCTCAGTCTTCCCTTTCCTCTCAACTTTATTTCCCCAACTCATTCCCTCTGTGTTCAAGCCACCTCAGTGTACTTCTTCTGCACTGGTCACTCAGTTTTCTATTCAATCTACACTCATCCATCCATCCATCCATCCATTCATCCATCCATCCATCCATCCATCCATCCATCCATCCATCCATCCATCCATCCTTAACCCTATT